CATCACCACCATCATCATCGCCATTATCATCATCATCATCATCATCATCATCATCATCACCATTATCACCATCACCACCATCATCATCGCCATTATCATCATCATCATCATCACCATCATCATCATCGCCATTATCATCATCATCATCATCACCATCATCATCATTATTATCACCATCACCATCACCATTATCACCATCATCATCATCATCATTATTATCACCATCACCATCACCACCATCATCATCGCCATTATCATCATCATCATCACCATCATCATTATCATCGCCATCATCATCATCGCCATCTCCACCACCGCCACCGCCACCGCCACCTCCATCACCATCGTCATCACCATCTCCATCACTGCCATCTCCATCTCCGTCTCCATGGCCATAGTCATCATCATTGTCCCCATACTCACCCTGTACCAGGAGAATAGTYTGACCCAATGTTGGGTTCAATAAGTGCTTGGTAAAATGGGGATGTYGGTCCTCCAATCAAAAGAGACGACAGGACACTCATAACAAACCCTTCAAATGGATCAGTAGTGCTTGAACAACAAGAAGTATAAATTTAGGCTTATAATGCATAATAAGTTAAATCAAAACAGATTGGATACATGTTACCCTCATCAGACCCTCCCCACCCCCCACCCCTTGGAAATTCAAATCCCTCTCTGTGGGGGTGGTATGGATATTTTATGGAACTACACAATATACCCTCCTCAGACCCTCCCCACCCCTTGGAAATCCCAATCCCCCTCTGTGGGGGAGGTATGGATATTTTCTGGAGCTACACAATATACCCTCCTCAGACCCTCCCCACCCCTTGGAAATTCCAATCACCCTCTGTGGGGGTGGTATAAATACTCTATTGAACTGCACAATATACCCTCCTCAGACCCTCCCCACCCCTTGGAAATCCCAATCCCTCTCTGTGGGGGAGCTATGCATATTTTATGGAACTAGTTGTTTTTGGTAATAATGGGGTATTCAGAGACTCCCCCCTGATTATGATACAACATACCTGCTAAGTAGATAACTCATGTTTACAATAGTCTGTTTGTCAGGGTCAGCTTCCATTGGGTCAACAGGACCTGTGATGCTGGCTTCTCTCTGAAGGAATGAATGATCATGTTAAGGAATGTTATYGAGGGAKTAACCTTAACACACTCTCATYATCATCATCTTTTCCCTTTAGGTGCGTTTCTGGCCTTAGGTTGCTTCTACTTGGCTAGGGTGGGGAATCTTGTCTCCACCAGTCGTATTTAGTCCTTTGTCTTCATCATCATTTTTCTAGCCTGTCGGGTGTCTATACCTAGCAAGGATTGTATCCTAGTCCGTATTGCTAACATGTGTTACTAAGACCAGAAATCACACCTGAGAACCCAAGARGGAGAGGTGATCGYGCTACCACTACACCACCCTTGATTTCCAAGTTGCCCTTCAAGGCCCGGTTATGTGAAGCCTGGATAGCGCTATCCAGCAGATAAATCCTTATCCAGTGGATAAGTCATTGCTGTTTTCCAATAAATTTATCCAMTGGATAAAATTTATCCAATGGATAGCGCTATCCAGGCTTCGTAAAATCTGGCCCAGTCAATTAATTTCCTATCTCCTTACACTTGAAGTCCATCGCATTTCATTAGGAATGTCTGTCTCTGTTTGAAGCCTTTCAAAGTGTTTCAAGGCAATTTCATTAATCTGTTGCAGATGATCTTCAAGTGGAATGTCTCCATAMGTGTAAAACCTACAAATATAACGAAACAGAAAACCCTTAGGAAATGCAAAAGAAATGCCTTGATGAGGAAATTTGGGATCTTGGTGCAGGACGGCAATGAGGGCTATTATCAAGGGGTGCAATGCATACACCAATGCTGATGCCCCCCACCCCCACCACCACCTAAAAAAATGATGGATTCTTGGCATTTTGCTGCCATCTACTGTACCCCATCCCCTAGCCCATAAAAAATACATGGAACTTCACCTRCTGTTGACAGAATACAGTATATCCTACCTTGAATTACTGGGGTGGTAGTGAGTAGAATGAAACTGCTTGAGTTGTTCCCACTTTTGAAATAAAATATAATCAAAATTGGTCAAATAAAACTAGCAAAGAACTACTTGAACATTTTGATCAGATCATCTTCATCTTGTGGTGGTTCAGGGCCTTGAACCCATGAAACCAAAGTAACCAATACTTTTTCCGTTATTTTAAGACTAAAGCAATAGTACATTGTTGTTGTACTCCTTTTTTTTTTGGCATAAAAAGAATATTTTTATGATATAACACCTTATAGCACCTCAAGCAAATGATATGGGTGGATATCTGGTGTTTATGATTTGATTTCTGGACTCAGCAGCTTATGTGAGTAGAGTTTGTTAGGTTACTTCCTTGATTCAAAGGATTCCAATTGGATCTGTGAGTTAGCCATGCCCTAACTTTGATATGCCCAGAGGTTGTTTCTGGGTTCAATCTCTGAGTTAGTGATGCCCTGACTTTGATCAGTCCAGAGGTTGTTTCAGGGTTTGATCTGTGAGCTAGCCATGCCCTGACTTAGATCAGCCCAGAGGTTTTTTCAGTTTTTGATATTTTTTCCTTGGGGGTAGGGGTAGGTACTCACAGTCAAATCTGGTATACACAGTGGTTCCCCACCACTATTGTTACTATAAGTATGACTAGGCAACAGTTTGCTCTGAGCATCCCTAACAAATATTGATTCAGCTGTAGACATGGCTCCCTTCATTTCATTGAAAACAACTCCTTTGAAAACCAAAGGAGAATCGGGGTTGTTGAGGTCTTCATTTTCGAGTCTCCAGCCTTCTTGCCTGATGGAAAATTTGAGAAGAATTAATGAACCTAAGGTTAAAAATAACTTGACTTCAGAATTAATGTGGGCTATAGAAGTTGATAAAGGAGATGATTGTGATGGCGGTGATGATGTTACTAGTGTTGATTGTTATCATATAACTTCCTATTCAAGATGCTTATTAAGTTTGCTTGTGTTATTCACAAGTAATGTATGTTTTGCTTGTGTTTGCTTTTATTTTCTTTAATATCCATGTAACTTCTTACATGTATTTGCGTCTTGAATAAATAACCATGTATGTTTATGCATAATACCTACCAGAAATCCAGTTCTTGTAAGCGAGGAAAGAACACAGCGTCTAAATACACAGACAACAAGTTCCTGAAGTCTTTTGGGTTTTGAGTGGAGAAAGGATACATTGTGACATCACTTGCTGGAAATGAAATTATAAAATCATTAATCATTGATTACGGCAATAGTTGTCACAACTTTTACAGTAAAACCATGATACAGTAGAACTACTAACTTCATACTATTGATGAGTAGTGTTATGTTGATGTTTTATCTTATTATCTTATCATTGGTGTTGGTGATAAAGCCTAAAGTTGATGAAGATGGATGATGATGATAATGATGATGGAAGTTGATGATGATGATGCATAATGATGATCATGAATGATCATGATGATGGTGATGATCATGATCGTGATAATGGATGATGATGATGATGACCATGGAAGATGATGATGGTGATCAATGATGAGTATGATGATGATAATGGTATAATAGAAATGGCAATGATGATGATGATGGTGATCATGGATGATGATGAAGATGATTATTATGATGATCATGATCATGATGATAATGATGATGATCATAGATAATGATGATAGCAATGGTAGTAATGATAAAATAATAGGAATAACTGATGGTTATGATTAAAAACAATGATGTGGTGGACATGATCATAATGATGGTGACATGGTGATGACCGATCATGATGATGATGATTATGATTTTGATGATGAATGTTTACAATAATTAATATTGATTTGGTAATACCTGTCATTGCATTCATAAATGTTGCTAAAGATCTGTTAAGCATTTTAAAGAATGGATCCCGGCAAGGGAACTTCTGTGATCCACACAGCGTCGTGTGCTCTAATATGTGCGACACTCCAGTACTGCCCATGGGTGTGGTGCGGAATCCAACCCTGACATAACAAACAACAATAGTACAGTGAACAACTGTGACAAGAAAAATCATTTTCAGTTATTTTAATGTTTTATGACTCTATGTTATGAAGAAAAAGAATGGGATTGGGGTTCCTGTGGTTGATATAATACAGGGAACCCATACMATTGCAAACGTTTATAAAGTGTAGTGACAGAGCTGAGATACATTAAGCATGCACCAAATTGTCCAAGAAAACAAACATGGCTGCCAGAAAATACTGCATCTAACATAAAAATTGGTCAAGATTTTTGGGGAAAAGGGTTTTAGCATACAGCATATATGAACATTAGAAAAATTTTTTTTTATATAAGAAGAACAAACCTTATAGGTATTTGTTAATAGGTTAGAATAGAGTGGTTAGAATACATTTTTTTGCTGCTATTTTTATAAGCATACAACTATTGCCAGTTGGAATTTGKTTTTTCACAGCTGCCAGTCAAAAGTATGAAAGATACTGACTGATTAGTTTTGATTGACGGCAGCAGGAAAAAAAATTTCAGCGTGCAGCTCAAAGCTACCAAGTTTGCATGTTTATGATAATAGCAGTAATCTTCAAGATTATAGCAATCAGATGAGCCTGTGATTTTATCCAAAACTACCAAGACAAGTTTTTYCCCGTCCTGTTGCATTGGAAGACAATGTGTGAGTGTAATTACCCAAAGACATTATTTGAATCATCTCTTGCAATATGTAAGTGCTGGGCTCCTGTGGAATCATGGGTAAGGTGGACAGATACTAATGACAGTTCTGGTACTGGTACAACCTATACAAAACAAGATGCAAACAATATTATTTACTACTATCATTTATTATTTACTACTATTATTCATTATTTACTTTTTTGTTTGTTACTAATAAAAAAAAATGTATGTAGGCAGTCTTATTACATTTTTCATCTTGAATATTTCATTTTATCATTTATTGTTTAAATGAAATATTAAAGACAAAAAATGTTATATGCCTGCCTACACAAAACAGARTTTCTTCTCCTTTCTTCCAAGAAATCATATTGGATGCTTATTAGCTTGTGCGTAATGTTTTCCTTTTTAGACAACATGTCATTTACTTGAGAATAGGATTATTTGCTYGAGTTAAGTATGCATATTAATGYGTCTTCTCATGCACTGTGGTTAAACAAAGAAATGATACTCTAGGGAATAACCCACGTCTGAAATGAAAAAACATTACGCCCAAACCAAAGGATTCATTCATTTACCTTGGTTACTGTGTAACCATGGAGGCTGTCACCTTCYTTTAGCTGTTCTAATAAACACAAATCAACAAGAGCAATGAATTCAGTGACATGCTAGATATTAAATCATGTTTGGCCTATCTCCAGTGCAAGTTATTTATGCAGCACAGCTGACATCACAATACCAACTCAAAACGTCAGTCACCACCAACAAAAAAATTAACAGTCTTTTTCAAGACTACATTCACCCGGACGATCACACTTCACAACAAACTTCAACACCTGGGTTCAAACCATCTACTGTAATACCAGCCTTACAATCTATAGAACGAGTCACAATATATTTAACAAAAGAGAAGAGCAGCATAAATTATAATTCACTGGAGATAACCTTATATTCTCTTAATCTTTCTTACTTGCTGCATCGAGTACCGCTGTGCTTTTCTCACATTCYTTTTGAAGCTGTGTGCATAAATATCTTTGATTGTTCCTAAATATTGACATAATTTGAATAAGATACTATGGAAAAAAGGCATCTAAAGACTTGAGCAAGAGTAAAAATATTTATCAGCAAATACGATTTAAAATATCGCACGTGTAACCATGTCATTTTGTTGAGTCATCCTCGTGAAAATTATATCCGAATACCTACCTTAAATATGGCAGTAATTTCCTTGGAGCAAGATTAYGCGAAAGAAGTAGTAAGTTAGAGCGCCACATTTTAGAAATATGAACTAAAATTGCCGCTTAAAAATTGAGAAAAAAGTAGAACCAAAAATATTTAAAAAGACGACCCTTCRTCCGCCATTTTGTTTCCCGGGATTCTAAGCGGGTGTAATTGTTTTTGATCATTCATGCGCGCAATGTGTTGTGGGTAGCCTAAAACACTTTTTCTTCCGATAAATATTATCTTAAAGGTTTTATAAATGAATCARTTTTAAATTGAGAAATTCGTGATGTTAAGATTATTTTTTTATTTTCAATAAATTTTAGGTTTGTTTTTTAGAAAATTTTATTTGAAAAGTTGAGACTGCTATTTAGGAGCAGCGGTAACTCCCATGAGAGAAACGGCCATTTGAAAAAAACAACAGAATTTGAAGGTTAACTCTTTGATTCTTGACGATATTTTCAAGATCAAAATTACATTCTAAGGCCTCAATTACGCAAAAACTGTTGATTGGAAGGTTTTTTCTCGTGTAGATCGCTTGGAGGAATGGAGGATCAGGGGGGAAGGGTAAGTTGTTCATATTGTTGTCGAGTTTTTAAGATGGCGTCTGTTTATCTATTCGAATGTCATGTCAACACAAGGCTGCAAGGATTATAACGCTTGTCTTGTGTTTATTTTTATTAATTTTTCCGAAAATTTAACGCTTGATGCTTTTATAGATATCATTCATCAAAATCATTGAAAGTTTTGTAAATTTTTGTGTATAAATTTGAAGAAAAGCATGCACAATTTTGCAATATTTYTTTCGCAAAATATGCTACACGTAAGCTTACATTTTAATTATAATTAACTATTCCTATTTCGTCATCAAAACATTTTTTGATTTRATAATATTAATTGGTATTAATAGAACGTTACTACCCTAGCGATTTCAAAATATATTGAAAGAGGGTATATTATGTAGTTCCAGAAATATCCATACCTCCCCCACAGAAGAGGATTTGAATTTCCAAKGGGTGGGGAGGGTCTGAGGAGGGTACATAGTGTATAGGTACTCCTCCCAATGGGTGGAGTATATGGATATTTTCTAAACTATATTTTTTCATATTACTCAAATGTTACCATTTTTGTCGTTAGTCCACTCCTCCATACCTCAGGAGCGTCAGGGGTGTACCAGATTCCCCATTCAGAGGAAGCATGAGATCAGAGGCCAATAGCTCTATATCATCCTACAGGGACTTTCCTCATGCCAAAAAGTACCAAGCTGAGGGATTAGCATCACCAAGAGGAATTGCGCCKCAGGCTAACAGTAGAGGTATTTAAACTAACCAATACTAGGGATATCGACAAACTGCCATACCACAGAAAAAATAGAAGATGAAGAATGTTTTATGAAATCAGGCTCATTTTATCAAATTTTTATTACCACTGCATGCTTCCATTGCTACACGCTGATTGAGACAACAGTGGCGTGTCAGGGAAATATTGTTATCTTTATATATTCTAATTGATGGCCGCGTATTGCCGAATTTCCCTGTCACAACTATTGTTAATTAAATGTTTAGTAATAAAATTTATTTTTTTTAATTGAAGAAATAGAAAATGTATGTGTGTGCTGTGTGCAGTTATGAAGCACTTGCAATATTATTGTGGATATTTGAAAACATTTGAGAAGTATTAGGAGAGGTGCAACTCATAGCAGAGTACTTCTCAACACTTCTCTCATGTCTTGCCAATCTTCAAGTGCATTATAGAGCAGAKGCAATTCAACCGTGAAATAAAATAAAACTAAATACTAACTAATAGTTAATTTATTTAGTGACTAATAGTCACYATTACTCAACCAGAACATTTATTAAACAAAAGACACAAATGGTCTCTTGTGTATTTGTCCTTTGTATGAATGTTCTGGTTGAGTGATAGCAACTATTAGTCACTAAATAGATACTATTAGTTAGTGTTTAGTTTGACTTGATTTCACAGTTTAATTGCATYTGCTCTAGTGTAATAAATTCAATTTCTTTGAATGAGAAATTGGAAATTGTGTTCATGTGCTGTGTGTTCTCTTATGAAGCATGTGCCCCAACCAATCAAAAAGTRAGGTATATAACAGGTATATTATATCTCAATTTATAGCTGTCATATCTGCACTCAAGGGGCTACAAGAGAAGATAAGAAAGCTTGAACTAGAAAGAACAGAAGCAGAGGACAACCTTAAAAGATTGGCTACAGAATCAAAGCATTACAAGGATATTCTACAGAAAGAACACCATGCTAAAAGTACCAGCCAAGGAATCATTAGCAAACAAAATGACGGTAACAACATTGATCAAAACAACATTATTTTTATTGAAACCTGAAACAACCTCTGGCTAAGTCAGAGCATAACTGTSTCACACACCAAACCCTGGAACGACAACTGGGCTGATCKAAGTCAGGGCATATGGCTAGCWCACAGATTTGACCCTCAAAAAACCTCTGGAATGCATGATTGAAAACAGGACATRAATAACTCACAGATTGAACCTGAAACAACCTCTGGGTTGATCTAAGTCGGGGTATGACTTACTGACAGATTGAACCCTGAAACAACTTCTGGGCTGATCTAAAAATGTTAGATTTGGTTTTTTCTTTTGTCAATCATTTTTACATTTTGCATTTCAAGCTAAAGACATATTAGGTCAAATAACCCTACCGACCTTAAAATGAGAAACAAAAAGAGCACTTCAACATGAGTAAGAAAATGGAAATTCAGCTCATAACTGAACATGACACAAAAGAAATGGCAATAAATTGTATAAAATTTAATATTTTATAAGCTTAGKATTAATTTTGTATTGTTGAAAATGAGCTCTTGTCCTATTATTAAATGGTCTGTTCCATACTTTTGTTCATCAATATCTTATAACTATTATTTTATATAGATCTGCAAAATGATCTTCAGGGTGCTGAAGCAAGGTGCCACCTACTTGAAAARCAGTTGGACTACATGCGAAAAATGGTACAAACAGCAGAAATGGATAGGGACAATGCAGTCCAGCGATCTGCCATGCTCACTCAACAAATAAGCCAACAAGCAACTGCTGACATTAAAGGACAGATTGGCAAGTTAACTGGGCTGGAGCGAGAGCATATGAAATTGACAGCTTCACAGTCACTGGCTGAGGTGAGCTTGTGGTTTTCCCCTGATGTTACTGTGATTGTAAATGGCCATATTCAGGTCCTTTTTAAATTGGATTTTGTTGTTATTGTTGTTYAAGAGCAAGATAAGGGAGTTGGAAGAAAGACTAAGAAATGAAGCCCATCACAGGAAGCTGTTGGAGGATAAGACTGTACAGGTAAATTTGGCATCATTGCCTCTTCTTTGGCTCCATTGCTYGTGCACWGGCCATTACTATGCAGGAGATCATRGGAGGGTTTACTGTAAACCTCTGTAAATCTGTAAATCTGTTGGAGCAACACTCAGGATCTTAAGTAATCTTAGCTAGTACATGTAGAAGGTGCTGCAATTGCTCCAAAAATATCTGCAAGTGGTTAGACCTCCGTTGTGTCCTGTATGATGGCCCTGTCTTATTAAGAGACATTAAACATAGCAGGCCACACATGACTATCACATGTAACCCTCTCTAAATAAAGTTAATTATTATTAATTATAATTATAATTTTTAATAAATAAGAAAATGTGCATGATATTTCATATACTCATGGCCATGGCCATTCCTGAATTTTATAAACATGATACATTCTGGTCTTACTTGGGCACAAACAACACCAAATGAGCTATGATGGACAACTGATGATTGTATTCAAAATAGACCAGAATGCACCATGTCTTCTATCTCAGAAAAGTTCATTGGAGAGGGTGGTCACGTGGGGCTACAGCCATTTAAGTGGCTATTACCCTTCTGACAATATTCACAGTATTGATTCTACATGGGGTAAGATATTGTTCAGCTTATGGCATGGAAAATCCTTTATAAATTTAAGAAGCTGCACTCAAACTAAAAAAAAATTTCAGTTTATTCAACATCTTACCCCATGTAGATTCAATACAGTGAATATGTCAGAAGGGTGATAGGCACTTTATATTTTCTTTATCTTCTATGATACAAGTTAAAAATGGAGGTTGCACCACAGTCCCTGGTGCATGCAGAAAACCCTTGGARTGCAACATCCTTGCATCTTTGAGACGAACATTAATGTTTGCAATTTTGTTATTTACTGTTCGTTTTTTTGTGTATTTTTTAGCTTCAAACGGAGTCAGAAAGAAATCGAATTCTTTTACGAGCAGCATCACCACCACCAAAAATCAAAAAGAAAAAGAAGAAAAAGGTACATAAAAATACAGTCCAAACCTCTCTAATAAAGACACCAAGGAGTTGGACCTAAATGTAAATATTTGAATCATTAAGGGTAGACAAGATCAAACAAAGTGTCCATAATAGATAGGTGTCTGAGTTAGAGAGTTGTTCGGTTATAGCACATTTTATGATCATGATTCCCATGTGCCCAAATTCGGTAATTACTGTTTGAATAGTGCTTACCTCTTAGAACTTAATTACTCTATTTGGCTGCTTTTCCAGGTAAAAGCCAAGTCAAAGCCACAACCAGTACCAGGAAATCCTCCTGGACATTTTCACTTGAATATGGGAAATATCCCATTCGTCGTAGGAAAGGTAAGAAAATGTTTTCCCATGCATGCTAAAACAGCCCTTACCTTACTTTTACTGGATACTCACTCTTTTCTCTTACAGTCTGCTAGCAAATCCCATTCTGTTGGTGCTAACATCCAGCAAGCTTTATCCCTTCTCAAGGGTCACAATCCAGCTTTGTGTAACGCTTTAGCGCAGCGCCAAGCAAGACGTTGCAGTAGCTCTACTTCCAGTGACTCGGAGGGACTTGAAGATCTTCTGCTGGGCTTGCAGGACGAGTTTGGGCACATGAGTTTGTAAGTAATGAAAGAATACATCTCGTATGTCTAGCATGAATTTAGAGTATGCTAGAGCAGTTTTCGTATGACTGCGAAAAGCTCACGGCACAAAAGTGTCGTGGCACGGCAAGGCATACGCCAGACCAATCACATTGCTCGAGAATTTACTCTCCTTCCAATAAAATGCCCTAAAATTTATAAACACGAACATGGTCRCGGCACTGCCGGACCAATGACTTTGCGCGAGAWAAAAACTTTTCAATCAAAATTCTAGAATACATTCCGGTCGCGGCAAGGCACGCATACGRCACCGACTTTTTCATACGAAAGCTGATCTATGAATCTCCTGTAACATGACCGTGGACGCGAGTGAAAACGCACTGCGCATTCTCGGAAGTTTGGCGGGAAATTCAAAGTTCCAAGACTTACCCTAGTGTAACGCTACTCGTAAAATGTGTCACGCAACGCCATTGCGCAAAGATTTGCAGATAGCATGGATTTTATTTTTAAAATTTTTTTCTCTAGTGAGCATCAAGAGCTTGGTCGTCAAATCAATGAAACCGACGACCTAGTGATTCGCGAAGACTTAGAGCGAGAACTGGAACACCTTGTCAAACGCATGGAAGCAAAAGGCGAACAAATAGCGATGGTCAAACATCAAATCAACAAAAGAAGCGAACAGAGAACCAGGCCTAAATATCGACCACAGCCACACGTCCACGTACGACCGCGGAGCGCTAGTGCTAGACTGCCGGCAAGTGGAGGTGAAATTGAAGTGGTTACTACAGTGAAAACTAAGGGCAGCAAAGGAGTTTTCGCGGGAGTTGAAAATAGGATACCTCAAAAACCTGGAGTTAACGCTGATAAGAATTTAAAAGTTTTGAAAGGGATGCAAAATTTACAGAGTTCATTAACTAAAGATGATTTACATTGGGATTAAGAATTATTGAAGAACCTCTATTAACCACCTATTAGGCAGCTAACCTCTATTATTCGACCAAACTCAAATTAGCGACCAACTATTGTTTAACTAGCCTCTATCTAGCGACCACTTTGAAAATTCACCATCGGGGGCCGCTAAATATGGGTTTAAATGGATTATATTATAGAAACACTTTAGACTTACAGTAGGTTAGATATGATATAGTGATTTTTGTCATATAAAATCAAAGACGAACAGAGTAAGTCTAATGAGAGGGAAAAGTATGGTACATTTGTAAACGTACYGTAGCCTTACTATATCTTACTGAAAGTGCAACTACGCGTTGTGATTGGAGGATTGCCACG